TAGTTAAAACATATATATATAACTATATATGTATTTCTAACTGTATATATATTATATATATCTCGAACTCTTTCTATATATATTTCTAACTATAACTATATATTTCTAACTGTAGATATATATATATATATATATATATATGTTGTCCAGTACAATGAAATCAACTTAACATTTTATAACAGATTCTTAAAAGTGTGCTTATAAAAACTAGTAGTCATAAAACATATTTATTCTGAAATGACTAAGAATACACAAGATGGTGCTATGTCAAGAGAGAGTCCATAGCAAGGTATACTCATTATTGACAAGGAATGTTCTTTCCACTAATCATGTAGCTAAAACCCTATTCATGGCTTACATCAAGGGCATGTTCAAACCAGCCGTAGCCTACAAAACCAAATCTTTGTAATAAAGAATGTTTCCATCTTGTCAGATGAAATGACACATTCGATGTATCGATAGAGTTGTAAGAGTTTTAACAAATATTGTTTTTATTTTATATACCCATTTACATTTTGGCTTTCAGCAATACCTGCCATGAAGAATCCTGAGATGTTAGGCTGGTGGTTTGTATAGACCACTCTTCTGGTCGCTGGCTAGTCAAGGCGCCAACTTGGGGGTCTACAGAGCTTGCTGCTAACAGATAAACCCTTGTGATTACATGCAGCTTCTCATCTAGAAGTTTGGAGGACAACATGAAGGGTTTATAAGGCATTTTGCTGAAAAAATAGTGTCCAGCCAACCAAAATGCCAACCACAAGGACGGACCCAACCCCGATCTTAGTGAAGACATGTTGCCAATATAACTGCGTTTTTCTCATTTGTTGGGTCTCATTTAGCCTCTGTTCCATCCGCGGCACTCTCTGAGCTGTGTTCGCTTGTCTGTCCTCTAGCACTCGTTCTCGCAGAACCCTCTCCCTCCTTTCCTTTCCAGGAGCTTGGCTCTCAGAGGACAGTCTTGTACCCTTTCCTTCTTCCAAGCCTGTTTTGTTACTATTATATGTCTCGGTCTTTATCGTGGTGGGTGAACGATCAAAAGCAGGGGACACGTTTTCCTTAGAAAGTTCTCTCCATCGTTTCTCTGTATTCCAGTCCCCCTTGGTAAACTGGGCTCCTTCGATGATAGCCCTGTATGAGAATCGTAGTTGTTCTGGGGTCTGAATCAGGCCCCTTCGATACTTTCTCATCTTCAGTAGCACTTGTTTGATCGTTATATCATGTCCCTGTGCCATCAGAATAAGGCAGATGTCTATGAAGGAGAATGTGCCCGAGCGGCCCACGCCAGCGCTGCAGTGCACCACGGGGGGCCCGTGCTCCCCCTTCAGGGAGCCAGAGACTCTCACTTGGGACAGGAAGTGGAGCAGGGAAGCTGGGGACTCGGGGACACCGAAGTCGGGCCAGGTGGTGTAGTGAAAGTGAGCGATGGCCCTGCTTTGCCCACTGCCCAGGCTTCGTAATCGCAGGCGGTGCTCTGTGTAGTGGGGTTTCACCTCTTCGGTTAGCAGCTCCACGCTGAGCCCCGTTTCCCGAAACAGCATCTGGGGCCCCCCCTTGGCGGGCCAGTACCTCACACATTTCTCCTTCCCTTGCTCCACCAGCCGGCTTAACATGACAATGGCCTCTGTCCCTTGCTGCCAAACCATGAGCCAGAAATGAGAGCGGGTGTTGGGGAGCGGGCCTTGCGTTAAGATGTACCTCCTGTGCGCCTCCTCCATGACCACAAAGCTGGCGTTAATATAGTCGTTTTCAGTATCTTGCAGTTTCACGCGACTGTGATCGTAGGGGCTCACATTTCTGTATCTGTTTCGATTTCTGTTTTCCGGAAACTTGGCCACTCGGTGCGGATAGTCTGGAGACTCCTTTTGAATTTCCGAGTACAGCTGCTGCCAGTAATTCTGCATATCCAGCTTCTCAAACTCCCGCTCCATGGTCCTGGTCATGGTCATGGCGGCGGGGCGACGGGAGTCAGCACAGGACGCTGGAAGCCACACGGGCGCATGCGCCCTTCCGGAGTCCGGGTTTGGGTTTGCTGACAAGTCCATGAACTTTGTTGTTGCCTTAACGAGTGGCCACAAGCTTGGCTGTTACAGCAACACAATACAAAAAATGGATTCGACCTAAGTGACATGCTATTACGCATTCCTATTAGGAAAACCAGTGTTGAGCTTACCGCCAGTTCTCAACCGCCCCCCACCCACCCCCACCTTTTTAACAGTTTTATGGGCAGGCATAGAATCCACATATCATACAAGAGTTCAGGCACATCAAGAAGAGGTGTCTATTCATCACCACAATAAACTTTAGAACATATTTTTCATTCTTGTCTGAGTTTACATCTTTCTGAGAGCTATATGAGACTAAATTCTGGATGTTCAAATGAAAAACTAAAACAGTGAGATTCAAAGAAATCACCCCCATTCATTTTAGGAGACAATTTTCTAACACTTGGATTGATATATTCAATAAGCTAAAAAAATTGGAGTTAATATCTTTGAACATCGTTGTAATGCCTCATTCAAACTTCCAAAGTCTTCACCCCATCAAGCTCTCATAAAGACAGCAACTAAGCTAGAAATGGCCTAAATTATCGAAGACAGTGTTTCCGGAACACTATGATTCCATGGGGTGTATAGAAAAGTAGTGTATAGGGTTATTAATGCAGGTTAAACATGACAGCTTCATGCTTTAAATAAATTTGGGAAATTAGATAATAAAAAAGGAAATTAATTAATTTGGTCAAGCTAACTGAACCAGAATTCTTCATCTACACACTGTAATAGGCTAAGATACTCCTCTGCTGGAGATAGCCTCAGACAATAAATATTTATGTGGGCCTAACTGTGTGCCAGGAACAGGCCCATGCTCCGCTCAAAGAAAGGTCAACAGATCAGACCTGGTTTCTTTCCTCCCAGGGCACTCGGAGCAGGAGGGAAGAGAGAGATTAAACAAAGCTACGGATCTGTAGAGAGCAGTAAATGGCATTGTGCTATGAAAAGAAAGGAAATGATGCCATGCAAATGAGTAACAAGGGGTAACAACTGGGAAGGGCTGAAGAAAGCCTCGCCTTCAGGATTAAAATTTAAACTGATGTGAGAAGAGTGAAGTAGCCAGATAAAGGGGAGAATTCCAGAGTGCGCAGCTAATCCAACGTCCTAGGACGGGAGAAAGGTCGTTATGTCAGAGGATCCGAGAGGCCAGTCAACAAGAGGCCCAGGGAGAGGGAGAAGACACTCTGAAAGCTAAAGTTATGCAGATGCTTGTAGGACGTAGGACGGAGACGTCGCTTTATCCCTTTCCCTTTAGGATAAAGGGTTTTCTTTGGGGCACGGGTTTTTTTAAGAACATTTTCCTGGAGGAAAATAGTGTATACATTTAATATTGACCATGGACAGTTTTTGATGAGATATTCCCTGGGGATAGTACTCTGAGGAAGCCCTTGAGACACTAGTTTCAGAGCTCCTGCTCTGTGAATTTTGGGGCCGTTAGAACTTCTCAGATTCTAAGTGACAGAGAACAGTCAAGGAGACTTTATCAGTTGAGATACAGTTATCAGGATTTAGAAGCATTTTCTGAGGTCGGGCCACCAACATGGCTGAGGTGTGGGCTCCACTGTTATCAGGACTCAGTTTCTCTCCCACTATCAGATTTCCTACTCATGTTTTAGTTTCTTGTCAGGATCCAAAAAATGTGATTCCTGAAGTGTCAGGCATTGCCCCTGTTGTAGTGAACTAGCTACTCTCCGATGATGCCAGATAGACTGCCCCTAGGAACGAAAAGACTGTCTCAAGATGTCTAGAGCAACCCCACTGCTTCTCAGGACCTCTCCTTGAACAGCGTGCCCACAGGGGACTCGGCACTCAAATCAAAGTCCTGGGCTGGCTGACAGGCAGCCCGCAGCCTCATCTATTTGGGTCCCCAATCCTAAATCGTAGGGGGAAATTTCAAAGAGGAATAATTATGAAAAGAAGGAAAGCTAAACTCTAATACAGATTTCTTTTTTATTTAGCATTTTGAATTAAGTGGATATGCTTTGAGTTATCATGCATTTCCGGTTGAAATATCAGAGGGAAATGCAATACAAATTTCTCTAAGATCAGTTTGCAAGAACAGCTCTGAGAAAAAGCAATTTCTTTCTCATTAGAGAGAATTCTAACTTTGTCAGGGGAAAACTGACTGCCACAGACTCGATTCCAACCCCCGTACCCTCCTGAGCCTGCTGAGATGTACAGGTTACTGGCCCAGACAGCCTCATCTCAACCTCATCCCGCAGCATGGTCAGTGGGTTCGAACAGCTGTCCTCAAGGTTAGGAGCCCAATGCCTAACCCACAGCTCCACTAGGGCTCCTATTGCACCTCCCAAGTCACTCCAACTCACTAGCATTGAGCCAATTCTGACTCTAAAGGACCCAACAGGGTGGAGGAGAACTGCCACCGTGGGGGTGGGGAGTGGTAACTCTCTGCAGGAGCAAATAGCCTCCTCTTTCTCCTGAAAACGGCAGTTGCAGTCCAATGAGCGCAGTCCACTAAGGGTGTCTCCAGTGCACCTTTACTGGAATTTGCCCTAATCTATGAGCTCTCCTGGATAAGGGTTGGACCGCTGTGAGGTCAGCAGTTCAAACCTAGCAGATGTTCTTCTAGAAAAAGATGAGGCTATCTCCTCCCTTGGAGATTTACAGCTTCTGTAACCCTGTCCAGGCTTATGATGAGTCAGCATTGACTCAATGGCAGTGAGTTTGGTTTGGTTTAAGAACAGTATGTTGATGGTAGTAGAGTCACTATGAGTCAGAATCCAATCCACGGCAGGGATTTCGGTTTGGAGCGTTTAATAACATTATAGCTTATAATTTATTTATTTAATATGATTACTTTTTACTGTCCCGGTGGCTCTGTCAGTTGAGCGTTTGGCCGCTAACCTCAAAGTCTGTAATTCAAACCACCAACTGCTCTGTGGTGTCTGGGATGCTGTCTCATCCCATAAAGATTTGCAGTCTCAAAGACCCATATAATGAGTTGAATCCAGTCGATGGCAGTGGATTTGGCTTTTGGTTTAAAGTAAGACCTGAGGAGCCCTGATGGTGCTGTGGGTTATGTCATGGGCTACTATCTATAAGGTCAGTGGTTCAAACCCACCAGCTGCTGTGAGAATCACAAGGCGAGGCTGTATCATCCTGTACAGATTTACAGTCTCAGAAACAATTCTGCTCTCTCCTCCAGGGTCCCTATGAAACAGAATGGATGAATGGCAGCAGCAGGGAGGAGGATACAAAAACCAAGTCGGTGGGTTTTTTTGGTTGTTATTGCTTCTGGGTGGTTAGAGAGAGTAGAAAAAAATATATATAGAACAGTGAAACAGAATATCTCTGTTACTACTGCTACTGGCAATTCACCTCACTCTATGATTATTACATGAAAATTACTCTCCCCAGACCAGTGAATCAGTAAATAAATGTAGTTGTATGCTTCATTTAAGCCATTGGCTACAGCTCTTACACTGCGTGCATCCAAATACATATACCTTTCACTGCTTCATACAGTCGGCTAGATTTGCTTAGCCTTTCACTCAAGCATTTCTAAAGAATATACATATGGGTATATACTTGCCTTTGCAAAAACAAAAGTCTTGAGAAGTATAAAAGATTGTTTTATGGTTTGATTGCGCAATCAAAATGTTCCCAGTACTTTTAAGATAGTAATAAATATTGGAATTTATAAGAGGCAGTGAGTCAACCTCTTGAGCATGTACAATAAATTTTAGGGACAAAAGAGGGGGGGGTGCTCTGCTCTGAGACTACAACGTGGTCTGAATGAGCAGAACAGATTTAGATAAACTGAGCCCCTGAAGACAAGCTAACGTCAAGGAAAAGCCATAACCCCTAAACATTGACCCACAGGATATTTTTAGTCTTACAGATATGTTGGTTAGCATTTTAGTCATTTATATTTAATTGTTATTTTATGACTGTTGCCTAAAGCTTGTTGGGCCTGCAGTGGGCCAGAAATTGCTAGGGGGTGCATTTATGGATGAAGTGAGACTCTGGGCAATACTGTGAAAGTGGGAGCAAGGAGTGCATGGAAGAGAGTCCTAGCATGATATCAACTGGAGAAGAAACGCAGCATGACGAACAGAATCATACTGCTTCCACCTTAGAGACACGCCAGAACAGGTGAATTTGTTCTGGGTGTAAGTATCTTTTAGCTGTTCTGTGAAAGAAATTTCTTCCTTGGCTTATTGAATGTTGTTGGGGGTTTTCTCCCTCTCGTGCATTATTTGTATTTTTGTCTTTATATTAATATGATCTGATTCTTACCACCATAGTGCATAGTCATGAGCCTAATCATCATACCAGGGTATCTCAGAACTCTAATATACCACACCAGGGTCATGTCAACCTTTGAATCCAACGTGAGAATCATTTTCTCTAGGACCATACAGCCTGGAAAGGAGAAGGAGCAGTTTTTAAGTCAACAGTATTGTACTCTTCTCAGAATCCAAAACACAGACAGGATCTATATTGAGAGAAGGAAAACTTTGAAAATAAGAGGGAATTTTAGAAAGTGTGTGAAAAAATTCCATTAACTTTAATTCCATATTTTTAACAAATATTTCATTGTTGTTTTCCCCACAAACTTTATTAAAACTCCTCATATGTCAATTGGGCATACATGGAATATAATCATAGAGTTTGATGTATCATGGTTTAATTTTGGAAATATTTTACACTAATTAGAGAATATTCCTCACTTTTTGAAATACAGAATATGGGATTATCTGTAGAACCAGCATACAACAAATGACCGAATTTTTCATTCAGTCCTTTCTGAACATGTTTAATCTTCTCAAGAACCAACTATTTTTCTGTAAATGTGTCAAAAGGGTCAAGTTACCCCAAAACCTTTTGCTAATGTACTTCGAGCATGTTATCAAGAAGAATTGGTCTAG